GTTTTCAAACTGATAAAGATGAAGATTTCTGAGAAGAAGTTTTTTTATATTTTTGAAAAGTATCTTCTTTACTAAATGCAATCAAAATGTGACTTTGGCGTGAACATAAAAGTAGCTTTAATATGCGACATGCGTAACCTTAATTTATAAAGTGTCCTGTGACTGTTGAATCTGTGTACGATGGCGGTTTTCCTGGAGATGTATCTACATATGCAGCAATACATACATACCATATACTCGCGTACAGATGAACTCATCTTATCCACAGTTTTGATTGGTATTTGTATGTACAATGTATTTGTTTGTGGTCGTGTGTGTTATGACACTTGCAAAAACGTGTGGCAAAATTTAAATATTCATGGAAAATACAAATAAAAAATATTTTTTTTAAAAGATTTATGTATCTATCTGGTAAAATACTCAAGCACCTGTAGTTGCCTAAGAACTTGAATTATGCGACATACTCACGAAAAATGAATATTTTTAAGTAGTAGCATCTTACTACCCTTATTGTATCTGCTGCATTCGATATTTATTTATTTTTGAAATATTGAATTTATTTTGAAATATATAAACATATTGTCATTTATCTTTAGTAGAAAATTAAATAATAATTAAGTGCTACTACAAATTAATAAGCCTCGAAGCAGCAAACACATGAAAGTGCGAAAACATTTTAGGTATGTTATATGCGATATATTTAAACCAGCTGTCAGTAACACTCTTAGTTATGCTAACAATCCGTGAGATACTGCATACAAATAGATACATCTACTCGTATGCGCTCACATGTACATTCGGTATCCGGAATACAGAAAAGCATTAGATATGTCTGACATTTTGACGGAATTAAATTAATGTTAATCATGCAATGAATAAAGCATTGTAACGCTCAAATGCACACACATACTAATTCATCTGCCACTGCCTAATTCGGTAATGGAAAACTTCTATGCATTTTGGTTTGCTTCATAATTCTCTGCCCGCCCGCCTCGTACTTCGCGCTTCCCGAAGTGATAATTACTTAAAGCTTAAATTTGAACGTGCAGGAATGCTACTGATTTAAGCTATGGGTTTCATTATTTTAACATTTATTTTGAACGTTGTTAGTTCATGATAGAAACTTTTTTCCGTACTATGAATCGCTAAAATATAGAATTGTTTTTTGTTGACGAACTATTCAAGATATTATTCAAGATTTTTAATTTTTTTTTCTTTTCTTTTAGGTAACAATAAGATTGTTTTCACAAACATTTAAGTTACTTATTTTGTGACTGTGATTTTGGCAGCCCTCTTAACGTGAAATATGTCAAACAGAACTGTTCTGTTACCATTTACCATTTTACAATAGCTCTGTTCCACGAGCTACTCGTAGTAACTTTTAGTAACACTGTGTATACACAAGTGCGTTCCACCAGCAAATTTTCAAGTAACTAAGAGCAACTGAGAAAGCGTAACATCCCTGTCGAACACAGACTTTACTTGTACATTTCATTTCAAGTGAAATTTGTGTTGATGTGTGAATCAGCTGTTTTGGTTTGAATTTGAATTTTTGTAGCGTTTATTTGCGATGCACTGGTATTCTTACCAGACTTTATACAAAACTGTTCCATGAAAATGAAAATCTGTGTAATCTGTGCGTAATTTATAACTTTTTTATGTTACGCTCTTAGTTTGTACTTTTCTTGTGTTTTACTTGAGTTTTACTACCAGTAGCTCGTGAAACGGACCTAATATGAATCGATTAATATTCGCTGAGTGCAGCAGAATTATAAAAACTTACTAAAACGGATCACTTTATGCATTAAGCGTGTATTACACATCAGATTTGGTTGTACAACTTATCTGAAATTGGATGTGTAATAGCTGTGTTGACAACAAGTTGGATGGATATCAAAATATTTTGATTTTTCGTCAAAATTGGTAGTGTTTTTTGGTTTACCGTCGGATTTTATCGACTTACATGCAAAATTTCATAAATTTTAAGGAATAGATGCGAAAATATCGTTTCATTGCGCAAGTAATCTCGTTAGCAGACGATGTAATTAAAAAAACAGGGTTCAAAACGGGTTCACTCCTTTGCAACTATAAATGAATTATATCCGAACTTAAGATATAATACTTTATATTGTAATTATCAATTTCTTTGTTTTAAAAATAGGTTTAAAAATCATAACCAAAATTTAATATATTAATAACCTTATGCTAACAAAAATAAGTAGATTATCACACATCTTAAAATACAATGAATCCTTTATTTTAAATATAATTTGTATTGTCTGTCTAGAGAAAATTTCTTAATTATTAACAGATACCATCAAGAAGATTTCAAATATTAATTTAAATATAATAAGTAAAAATAAATATAAATCTATATATTAAAATTATAAATTAAATATAATTTTAAAACAATCGCCTGATGAGCAAAAAATGTTTGTATATTTTCCTGAAAGTATGTTCAAAATAATCTCGACTGTGTTCATCTGGATAAGAAAGCGACGTCAGATAAGTTGTACAACCAAATCTGGTGTGTAATACTCGCTTTGCTTTACAAAAAGATTATGATTATATTCTATTTTGCATTTGAGTTTGTATCACCAATGTTATAAAATTCAACTTACACAAGAACTGAAATAAGCTCTGATCATGCAATCTCTAAAAAATACGTTGATTGGGTACTCGAACAACAGGGTTTGGACGACGAAGAAATTTCTCACATGGAGTTTTCTTCAGTGTTAAAGGTTATTTTTTTGTTCACCAACAAATCAAATCATCACATTAGACACAATAAAAATCCACAATTGTCTGTAGACCATATTCATCAAATGAATATTCATTATGGCCAAACCATTATCAACTCTATAGAAAATTATATTAAATTACCTGAATGATGTTATGTAGTGCAAACAATTTATTGAAATAAAAACAACGTTCACTTTCGATACTAGAAAATCTATATCAATTCACTTTATTAAATCACATATCCTCTACTTTGATATAATAGCCATATTTCTGAGATGAGAAAAATTTTGTTTATTGCTGGCAATTCGAATAATCTAGCATTTTGGACATCCACCCTTATAGTGCAGGTCTTACTGCCCCAACATTTTTGTGAAGATCGGAATAAGTGATAATATATGCTAGATCTGAATATGGTGAGAGCGGTATGACAAGCTATTTGACTATTTAAAAACCTGTACAAAGTCCCAAATTATCTTGTTAGAACACTATACCTCTCCAGTTGTTGTGAAGTTGAATGCCGCTTGATCGGCGCTGACGACGAGTGGCTCTGGGACATAGACCCGGCCGTTTTGGGAATTACAATAAGATTGATCATTTAGCGCGGTGTTACCTTGTAGAAACTAAAACAAAAATTTATTTCCTCGAAATCCAAAGTTTTTTAATGTATATATTGGCTTTTGAGGTGCTTCCATCCGGTAATCCTTGATCTCTAGCTTTAAGTATAGCTTTAGATAACCCGATACAACTCAATAATTTATCATCTTTAATATTTGAAAGCAAATCACAGATGTCAATTTGACGCAACAAATGTTTATTTCGGAGAACTCTTGTGTAACATATGTCAAGATTTGATACTATCAAGCATAAAGAAAAACAATAGATTATCAAACATTAATGATAACGTAATCATTAATGTTTGAATTCGATAAATAGCATATTTTATTGATCTCACGAATTGTTATAAGCAAATTGTTTGTATCTACTTCAGTTGGCTTCTCAGAATGTAAGAAAAATTTAAATAAAAACTTTTGTTGGCAAAAAACGAAATCACTTTCTGAATAATTCAATACAATAAATCTATCTTTCTGTACATTTAAAATTTTATCTCAGAAAAAATTCAAGTTTTTCGTAAGGAATATAATAAGCTAATGTAATTGCACTTTAACAGTACTAAAGAACATTCTTAAGACTTTTCCTTTTAATTCGATTTCATTTCTGTTTAATTCATTTTCTCTTCGTATGGAGTTCGTAAGTAATCCCTCCAATGTTCATTGTCTTTATACTAACTTGCAGCTCCAAGAAATTGCTCTCCATCTATAGTTCCTTCCAATTAAATGTAAAGAAGAATGGAATAAGTTTTCTTATTATTGTCAATTATCAAATCATTTGCACAAATTGCTTACTAATACTATTTTTATATTTGTGCACATAAAACGCACTTAAACTTGATTCGCTATCGATTATTTGTATGCCAGCTTAATTCATCGGCTTATGATATTCATTAGTGCCACTGGCTAATCTAAATTCCAAGCGATACAACAAAAGCATAATTAATAAAAAGCAAATTGAATTAGCCTGATTAGGGTTAATATCCCTTATACGGGACTTAACTGAAACGCAGGCGGCTCAATCCAATCGTATCCTGTTGACTTGCAGGCATAAAACGTTCGTCACACATGCTGCTTCTTGCCTCTCGTTTTGTGCTGTTAATTATTTTTCGTTATGTCTTTGCACATAAGCGCAATTATACGTCAAAATAATCAAGGAGGAAGGCACGAAGGTAATCGTGACCAAAATAAAAATAAATGGAAGAAATATCCTGCAGCGAAATTCCTTAGGAACACAATAAATTTGGCGAATATATTCAAAGGACTCACCAACATAGTTAAGTTCCTATTTTTTTTTTTTTTTGAAGTTATTTAGTTAGTTAGTGTTTCAGTTAACACTTATATTTTAAAAATATTAAAGAAATCTATATACCCACAGTAAGTATATATATGTAATAAAACAATTGGTTAAATATATGCTAAATATAAACCAAATATTTTGTGAAACATAATTATCAGTTTTGTTAAAATTAAAACCAACTCCAATATTAATGTTTATTGGTAGTAAAAAGGCATTTTACAAAATGTTTGATTTGTTAAATTTAGAAATCTGGCACCGCTGGTTCAAACAAACTGTCAAACTGACAGTTTGACAGTTTAGATAAGTTGGAAGTAGATAAGTTGTAAGTAGATAAGTTGTGAAGTACAGATAAACTTCCGCTTTCTTGAGAGTGAACACGTACATAGCTTGTGTTGACTGCAGAGTTTTTATAATGGATCAAATATTTATCGATAGAGTACGAAAGTATTTACGTGATAACGTTGAAAAGACCTACATAAATCCAACAATAATAAGTAAGTATCTACAAGACAAATTTTCTGAATATTCTTCAGTAGAGGTCGAACGTTTGCGTATATCAGTTAAAGAAGCTTATCGTATCATATCTGAAAACTTCGATTTGTATGATGAGTTTGTAAAAGTTGGTTGGAATTACTCAGAAAGTGATAGTGCATTGAATAACGAATTGTACTCAAAAAACTCTACACAGCCTGCAAAAAAAATAAAAGTTGATGCTGACTTTGTAGCGAATGATGCCGACTTTGTAGCGAATGATGCCGACTTTGTAGCGAATGATGCTGACTTTGGAGCGAATGATGCTGACTCTGTAGCGAATGATACTGTCTTTGGAGCGAATGATGCTGCATTAAAAATGAAGCAAAAAGTGCGTAAATATAACAAAAACGTTATATTGGATCAGTCAACCCAAAATTTCAACACTCTTTGTGGTATGGAAAATACTTTAAAAAAGTTATGTGAGACTTTTTTATATCTCAAAACACCAAAAATTTATAATACAGTAGGTTTGGATACACCAAGTGGAATTTTACTACATGGCCCTAGAGGTTGTGGCAAAACGCATCTTGCATATGCTATAGCCGGGGAATTTCATTTGAATATTATTAAATTACATGGGAGAGAACTTATATCAGATACTTTAGAAGAAACTCAAACAGTAATTTCTGATGTTTTCGATCAGGCTCTATTTTGTGCACCATGTGTACTTTTTATTGATGAAATTGATGGTATATGTGGGAATAGTTCAAAGGCACAAAAGGTTATGGAGCGACTAGTAGTTTTAAAACTGATATCTTGTCTTACTGAGTTAAACGAATCTGAGAACGGTCATAAAGTTTTAGTTATTGCAGCTACTTCTCGACCAAATGAATTGGATCCAGATTTGTATCAAGACGGATGCTTTCTTGTCGATATCGCGTTACCATTACCAAATCGACGTAATCGCAAAGAGATGTTAAGTGTTATCTGTAAAAGTCAAACTTTAAAGAAGAACTTTGATTTTAATAAAATAGCTGAGTTAACACCCGGTTATTCTGGAGGTGATTTATCCAATTTAATATCATGTGCAGCTACAATTGCAGTAAAAAAGAAATGTTCAGAACAAATTCGTAAGCTCCGAGAACGAAAACAAGAAAACATAACGATTGTGAATTTGGATAACAAAGAGAATGAAGAAACTGAGAAAGCAAATAAATCTGAAAAAGAAGCTAAAAACTCAGTTGAAAAAACAGCAACAGAAAAAGAAAAAGAAACATTAAAAGAAGAAAAGAACGGAATAGAATCAAAAAATACTGAGAATAAGAAGACTGTTGATGTGGAGAAAACTGCTATGGACAAAATGAAAACTAATGAAGAACAGGCGAAAGAAGAAAAAATTAATGCTAAAACTAATATAATAAAAGCAAATGACGATGATTCAGAAAAAAAATGTATTAAAAAAGAAAACATTCCAGAACTATCTTTATTAGAAATGAGGAATTTGCTTATTAATCCATCTGAAGAAATAATGATGCCAGATAAGTTTTATATAACGCATGACGACTTTTTAGATGCTATAAAATTAATAAAACCTACTGCTAAACGTGAGGGTTTCATAACTATTCCTGATGCGACATGGGAAGATATTGGGGCTTTACATGAAATACGTGATGAGTTAAACTTAGCCATTTTAGCACCTCTCAAATTCCCAGAAAACTTAGAAACACTTGGTTTATCTGCACCCTCAGGTGTTTTGTTATGCGGACCGCCTGGTTGTGGCAAAACTCTTCTGGCTAAAGCAATTGCTAATGAGGCTGGCATTAATTTTATATCCGTACAGGGACCAGAACTAATGAACATGGTTAGTATGATCATTAATAAAAATAAAAAATAAACAGTAGCAGTTAAAAATAGTATAAATTCATTAAAAATATTAATGTATAATATATATAATATAATGTGTATGTTATAATATAATGTATATACTACAACATAATATATATAATATGATATATTTAATAAAAACATATTTTTTATTATATCTTCTATTACTTAATTATAGTATGTTGGTGAGAGTGAACGTGTAGTACGCGCAAGTTTCCAACGTGCAAGGCACTCAGCACCTTGTGTACTTTTCTTCGACGAATTTGATTTACTCTGTCCAAAACGCTCAGAAACTAACGCAGTTAACGGATCACGTACAAGAATAGTGAATCAATTTTTAACCGAAATGGATGGTGTTAAAGATCGTCAAGGTGTTTACATTATAGCTGCAACTAATCGCCCTGATATTATTGATCCTGCTATATTACGTCTTGGCCGTTTAGACACAATATTGTATGTAGGTTTACCAAACGAAAGCGATCGTGTAGAAATTCTTAAAGCAATAACAAAGGTGAAAACATAACACTAACATATATGTATATATGTATATCTTTACGCAATTAATTATGATTTTAATTATAGAATCGTACACGACCCTTGTTGTCAGAGGAGGTCGATTTTGTTGAAATAGCAAAAAAGACTGATGGATTCACAGGAGCTGATTTGGCAGGTTTGATGCGGCAAGCCGCTATGCTAGTACTTAAACAATGTTTAAGTACCAAATTAAGAGGAGAAAATATGTGTGTGGGAAATAAACATATTGAAGTAGCACTTAAAATGTTACGTCCATCGATAACAGAGAAGGTATATACTGCATGTTTATTACTTTGAATAATGTTTTAATGATTTTTGTTTTTGATTGATAGGATCGAAAAATTTACGAAACTTGGCGTTTCAAGTATGCTGCTCCTCGTGTTCCAGATTTAATAGAAACTGATTAGATTAACTGATTAAATAATGTCTTTGAGATAAGCGAACTTTTGTTAATCTCAAATTGAAACAGAACAGAATTAATTTTAAATAACCATTTTTATTATTGTTGCTGTGTATATATATACAATGTATATATATACAAACATGACAATAATACATATGTTATAAATTTTTGATACATATTAAATTAAATGCAAATTTTCACTTTTCAAAATTATAATACTTATTCTCACAACACTATAATAATAAAAAAAAATTTTGTGGTAAACCACATACGGGAATTACAATTTGTATTCTTTTCGAAATCATATAGATAAGAAATTAACTTAGAAGTGATATACCAATCTCAAGTAAAAGGAAAAATATTTAGCGTTAATCTTATAACCGCTTTGAAAGCTTCAAATAAAATTGCAAGTTCTACAAAGAGACCGAGAAGACCGAAGTTTATGCTGGAGAGCTGCACTGAAAGAAGGGCTTAAATATTTAACATAACATATGGTGATGGAATAGGATTGAGTGAGTCACTTTAATATATCTAAAGATCGCGATGCAATATCCTCTGTTCATAATAAGAATGACAATAAGAGTTATATTCACAAAAACTGTTTTGTTAAGAAATTTGAAAAAAAAATTGTTGGTTTTTTTTTTCGAATTGCTTATGGTTTTATAAACTCAACGATATCTTCAGTATTAGCATTGGCCAGACTCTCGCTTTTATAAATGCTTCTAACTGGTTCTATTTCGATCTTCTTCTTATACCCATTAATACGACTAAAGAAGAAAAATTTGCGTGCCATATTCCGCTTTTCTTTTGCTGAAAAATCATGTGTAGGTGTTTGATGCGATGTGAAGGATAAATTAATTTTTTTGAAGTAATTTTAAGGACAATATCGTCCTGAAATTTTTGAGTTCGATATAGAATTTTATTACTAATCGAAATCAATATAAATATTATATAAAAATATTTATAGTATATTCTTTGATTCATGGAAACTCATTCAGTGGAAATATAGTACGCATGTGCTTGATGTGTTTTGCGGGAGAAAAAAAAATTTAAAAAAATAATGCCGTTCTAAAAATTTTTACTTGGCTGTAAAATTTAAAACTATCTAAATAAAATATAAAAAATTAAAACTATTTTGGAAATGTTTTGAAAAATTTTTGTATATTTGTATGCAAATATAAACAATCTTAACAATCTCTTGAAAATTCAATAAATTATCTTTAAAAGGCAGCAAGTTTCATTGTTCTACCATTTATAGAATCTGAGCTTTAACGTTTCGAAAATGTGTCTACAATGTCAATTCTTAAAACCCCACGGGTTTTTATCTCCTAGGAAAAAAATTACAAGATACGGGTCTATTTATTTTATGAAAGGAGTACATAAAAAATTTTAGACAAATCGAAGATCATGAGGTCAAAAAGGTGTCCGATTTGTAAAAGAATGACCCATATAATAGCTTCAGTTCCTTTCACATATCAAAAGACAACAAATTGGACAATATGTGCGAAATTCTGATGTTAATATATTATAGAGACAATTCTGTAAAACATGTTATGAGCTGGATATCACAAATGTATTGTAGATATATCTATATTTCTACATTAAAAAAATTACTACATATTGGTTCTGTCTGCTTCTAAAATTTCTATATCATTCTTACTTTCTTAAAAGTAACTAAAGAGAAATTGTGTTAATAAAGGAGAATTTGCGTTTCCTTGTTCAGTCAAGGAAAAGCAATTCTGTTAGAGAATCATATTGTGATATCTCTGCATCTATTCTGAACACTTCTTATACTTACTTTTAAGTAGTTGCTAACTAATTTTAGATTAGTGCGTTTATATTATCTTTCTGATTTTATTTTAAATATTTTTTTGTTTTAAAATTTCTTCTCAATATGTTATGTGAACAAAAATTACGTTTTCGTTTCGTACATTAATTGAAATTTTTTTTAAAAATTTACATATAAGTTTTTAAGCTTGTATAAGACATTGAAATGTGAATTTTTACGAGTATATCTAAGAAAGAAACACATTCAAATACATAAAAATACTTTTTGTAAAAGTTCCGTAAAATGCTTATAGGCATTACATTGCGCAAGTTGCTTGCAAGTTGCTCACTGGCGTATGGCAATTTTGTTAAAATATCTGAAAATTGCATGTTTATTTCTTGTTTCATAATTCCTTTCATACTCAAAGATTGCCTAAAGTATATTAACAATCGCTGCTGGTTTTAATTAGAGCAAAGTTAAATGCTTCACAAAAAGTTTTCAATGCACTGAAGATGAAATCCGCAAATAACTTCCGGCAGTTTATGTATGTCTAAGTTCGAAGAAATGCTGAAAATAAACTGTTTTTTTTTTATTTTTTTATTAAAAATTAAAAATATATATTTATAATTTTTTCATATTTTTATTTTTATTTTTTAATTAAGACAATAATTATTATTATAGTACTTATTTTATTTATTTTTATTGCATTGAATAAAACTTCAATAAGTATTATTAACAACCTGTTCACTTGCTCTAACCAGCTCTACCTTAAATACTTTTAAGCACAATTGTAAGTTGAAATATCTCACATCCATCGTGTACTCAAATACATCTGCAAAAGAGTCCATAATAGAATTACTGATTTCTAAAGAATTCTATTATTCCCAAATATTAATTTTAATTAAATACACGAATTTTGCATTTCTCACAGATAATTAAACTACACATTTTAAAAGCAGCTTAAGTGATTATTTCTGTTCTTTCATATTTTTCTGTTATTCTCATGATTTTGGTGAATTTTAAATTAATTTTCAACTTTACATAAATATAAAAATAAAATTCTTGAATTAATTAAAATACTAAAATCACTAATAAAGCAGATTAAATTTTATAATAAAATTTTCTCATTTATTTAGGAATAATAAATGTTCTTGCTTCCAGCTTCTTGCTTGTTATAACAATTGAATTAATATGATATCATGTCTTATTTTATATATGTAATGTACTTCTTATTATTACGATTTTTAATGCTGAATTATTAAATAAAATAAATGACATTTTTCTATAAAAATCAACTGAAAAAATGTTTGAATTATGTATGTAAAAGCATAAAAAATTAAAATTTCTCTTATCAGAAGGACAAAATGGTGAAAGAATTTGCCATGTGTAGAATGTATTAAAGCAGATTAAATTCTGACACATATTCTGACATTTTAGAGACTTAATGAAATGAGAATAAAAGCTAAAACATAACGAAATATTAAATTAAATTCTTATAAACTTATAAAATCTCAATTAAATGACAGATATATGATCTTTTTTCTACTACTACCATGCATATGTAAAAAAGTATCTCAACAGATGAAAGTATAATGGAAAAGTGATTCATCCATTTTAACTTTAATTTTACATACGAAATCATGCGTAGATAACTAAAATGAAAATAATAAAACTCCAGAAAAATGTGCGAACACAAAAAGTCAAATACGGCTTTGGGTCAATTGGTTAAGGTGCGCTGACTCTGAGCTTCAAATTTGGCAGGGCACAAGTTTTATTCCTAGTACTTGCAGTCTCAAAAAAATATTTACAAATACTTAAATACAAGAATTATTTCCAAGACCACTGATGATGGGTATTTGGCAATATTCGAAACAATTGTATGTCCAGCCAAAAATTCAATTAATTAAAATAATACAAAATGAGTTTTTGTTGTTGTATTACATTAGTGTTCGAAAAAAAAAAGCTTTTTATAAGCTCAAAATATAAATAATGAATATGTATGTTATTTGAGAAGTTAACTTAACAGCTTTAATGTTTTATTCGAAGACACTTGTTTTTAAGCTTTGCAGATACTTCAAAGATAGAATGTAGAAACCTATCTGCCAGTAGATATCAGAATGAATTGATTTTCTATATATTGTGTATTAACTAAAGTGAATAAAGAACCATATATTCATATTAAGGCCAAACCATGCTAATTAAATTTTGTATGATAATTAATCTCAAAGGAAACCCATATCTTGCATCATTAAGTTGATTTAAAAACTTTAATCAATTTGATTTTTAACACTTAAAATATGGAATCTACTTAAATAATGCTTTCTGCAAGGAGTAAGAAGATGAGGTCATCCCATAACCACTTGGCGGAAAACAGTGGCAACCGCAACGTCCAAATCTTTAAGAAGCTACGGTTTGTATGCTAGAAACAGAGACATATGAAAAAATTATGTAATAACTATCTGTGAATAGATTAAATTCTAAATCTAATTTTTAAAAATGAAAAATATGTAAAAGTAATAATAATACTTTCTCCGAGAAAACACAAGTATTGATGGAACGAAATAGAACATTTACAGCTCAGTTTCGGTTTTTCATCTATACCGCAGTGTATAGGTAGCAAAATTTTATCACTTTATATAATTAGTTTATCTCTACTTCAAATAAAGTTATTTTGTAATACCTACACTCAGAAAAATAATTTCTTTGATTCAACTAGATTTTAACTAAATCGCAGGTTAAAATAATCTTGCTCGACGCATCGTGTCACTAGTCTCAAACGCGCGTATGCGCTTTAAACCTATCCCCTTTACCGTCACCCTAATCCCCTAATTTACGCCCCTGCTTACTGGCTTAGATGAACCAAGCTCGCTAGGTATTAAGCCTATATGGTAACATCTCTCTCCCCTGTGGAAATCTTCACCATTCATTCCTAAGTGGTGGCTCAGTGGCGGTGGTGGAGTTCAAGTCTCACACTGTGACTTTCTATGCTTTCCACTTACTGCAAAAAAAAAAAAATTACTATCTAAGCATTTGGGTCCAATTTGAGTAGAAGAAAGTAAACGAAAGTAAACGTTTTTTTGGAAGAACCTTGTGAACAAACACATATAAATCAGTTGAAATTAAACACTTTTAAACGCAACTAAATTTTGCTAATATTTTAATTTAAAAAAAATTTACAAATTTTACAATTTGCTGTAGTAAAACAAAATACTCAATTTTTAATTCCAAAGAAACTTGAAATTATTTTCAAATTATCAAAGTAAAAATTATTTTCGCCCGCTTCTCCTCGTACCAAATTAACAATTTAAAACTTTT